GTCCGAGAGTCGAGCTACATAACTAAGTTCGATAAGTTTTCTAATTTTCTATTACGTGTTGGGTGTTTACTTTACTATTTGCGCAATTATATTTTCGCAATTGAATTCTGCATTCATGCATGAAAGCTCTATACCCGAGCTATCTTATTAGAAACGGAAAAGGAGTACCGTGACTTTCACAGTAGTGGAAACCACGCAAAACTTTCCAACCAAGTTGAACTCAGATCCGAGGTTGATCTTGAGGTATCCAGCCAGTTCGAAAGGGCTACGGCAGGATACAACTTGGGAACCAAATCCCTAGGAATTCCCCTGCCAGCATATAGTAAGCATAGAGGCCTCCCTAACCCGTCCAAAATTATCCCGAAACCACCCTAAAACCATGTCGTTACGCTTCCCGAAAGCCTTAGGTCTACCTAAATAGGGCAATGATGTGATTATATGTGTTTGCTAATCTAAATGGATGTTTGCTTGTGATTTATTGATATTGTGTTTTATCTTTTACTCGCAAAACTATGTGATTGTATGAATGAAAAATGTTTTCAAAATTCATAAGCATCATTCTCTCGTAACATTTTCATTCACTCATTTACAACTTATCATAAAAAGATAAAAATGCATGCATGATGAAAGATAAATTTGCATTCATACATCATTAACACTTGCATAAGCATCACGCATATACATACCCATAATAAAAATGAAAAATATAATTTGTCAATTTTAAGATGGTTCAGGGTTTCTAAAATCATTCATCCACGTGGAAAGAGTCAAGTATTTGACAAGATCAAGGTTGAGCTCATCATGGAGGCATTCCAGAAGAAGATGGGTGATGTTGAAGGAAAGTTGACCGGATTCGATGAAAAGCTATCTGGGTTCAATCAAAAGCTAGAAGGTGTCGACGAGGTGAAAAATCAACTAAATTTGCTTATAGGGATGATGTCAGCAAAGAAGAAAGAGGTAGCAACCAATGATGAAGAAATGTCAATTTACAATGACGATAATGGCAAGCCACATAATGGGGGCAATTCGAGCAAGAAATTCATCAGTATACCCATAAACGAGAAGCTTGATAAAGACAAAATTGGATCATCAAAACTTGATGACTCGCAAGGGAGACGGAAGTTAAAAGAAACTGTGATCGATGCCACATCAAAAGAAAAACTTGAACGACTCGATGAACGAATAAGAGCTATAGAAGGAACGGAGTCATACGGGCCCACAGATGCATCGCAATTATGTTTGGTCCCAGATGTGATAATACCTCACAGATTCAAAATGCCAGAATTTGAAAAGTACGAAGGTGCTACTTGCCCTAGAAGTCATATGGTTATGTACTGCAACAAGATGGCTAACCATATTCGGGATGAAAAATTGATGATACATTGCTTCCAGAATAGCTTAAGCGGTCCAGCTCTAAGATGGTATATGCAACTCGAAAGATCAAAGGTGAAGAGATGGCAAGATCTGGCTGATGCATTCTTCAGACACTATAAGCATAACCAAGATTTAGCTCCAGACAGGGAGGACTTGCGTAATATGGAAAAACATGAGAAAGAATCTTTTCGCGAATACGCCCACAGATGGCGAACAAAAGCCGTAGATGTTCAACCTCCTCTATCAGAGAAAGAAATGGTGTCAATCTTCTTCGACACACTCAAGCCTCCCTACTACAACAACATGGTAGGAATAACCACGACTAACTTTATCGATCTTTTGATAATCGGTAAAAGTATAGAAAAAGGGATCCGGCAAGGCAAGATGGAAATACCAGAAGGCTCCACGAGACTAAGCCAAAAAAAAAAGAAAGGAAGAAGAGGTATATTCATCCCACAAAGAAGCAAAAGAGAAAACACGAAAAAGCAATTTTCGAAATAATCAAGCCCTCCCATATGTTGCAACTACTACACCAATATTGCAACCTCCAAACTTCATGAAATCAACGATCCAACATCCCACACCAATACCACGACAAGGTGCCAATCGAGATGTTAGTATCACAAGGAAAGCAAAAAGGGTATTTGACCCCATCCCGGTCACGTATACCGAACTCTTTCCTCGATTACTCCATGATCATCTAATCACTCCTATTCCGGGCGAGACTCTACAACCTCCATTTCCAAGGTGGTATAGGTTCGACAAGCATTGCGATTACCATTCAGGAGTCCAAGGGCATTCAGTGGAAAATTGCAATGCTCTGAAGATAAAGGTTCAAGACATGGCGAACGCCGGATGGTTGATGTTTGAATAAGAGGAGAACGTTTAAACGTCAACAACAACCTGCTGCAGACTCGTGGAAGTCAATAAGTACAACCCCAAATAAATATCGAGAATAGCTCGCCACGATAAAAATGTATCACCTTTTGCTGTCATCATGAGAAATAAAAGGTTACTCACGTTTCTACCTTCTCGGAGCATTTCGTGATCATTATCAATCTCGATTTCGGATTTCCCATCAATGGTCCCTATTTTTCCAAGTAAAAAATCTATTTCACGAATTTTGACTTGAATTCTCTGAAATAAATCATAAATCAATTTCATGTGTTCAAGTTAAGCCATGGGATTATCATACCAAACAACTATGAACACCCTACTGGTGTTGAGAGATTACGAACACCTTACTGGTGTCACGATTTTGAACACCCCACGGGTGTTGAGAGTACAAAATGCCAACTTATGTTGAGTATATAAACACCCCACTGGTGTCCGTAAATCATGTGAGATGATAGTCAAGGGATGTAGTGGGGATACGACATCAGGCTATTTTAAGAATCCTGTCACATTTAGCCGAATCTGTCACCAAAATAGTGTTTGAAAAACTATCCAATTAGCCCAGCCATCAAGAGAGACACTCATGTTGTCAGCCATCAAGACAAAGTCATAACCCTTTTGTGATCGTGCCCAAAAACACAAAGTTCAGTTGAAGACTTAGGGAAATACGTAGAGGCATAACAAAGTCAAGCAAGTCCCACAAACGTGAAAGTTTCAAAAGGGAAACAACAACAACAAAACATTGTGGGACTTACAACTAGATGCCCTTTTCTATGTTATCTAAAGTCATAACCACTCAGCCAAGAGATCTTCCAACCAATATCCAAGGAAGAAGCTCAAGCAAAAGCTTACGTGATAAGAAAAAAAACATGCAGTCACTACCACTACGCAAAAGAACTCCTCAACATACCATTCTAGGTTGGAGCAAGAGTTCATTTGCTTCCTACTCATTCTTGCCTCTTAAAACCAATATTTCAAGAAGAGAGGGCAATACAAGCTATAGATATACTCTCTGGAAACCACCAACATTTCCAAGAAAAAGAAAGACTTCCTCGATGAGAGAAACTACAAACCTTATACGAATCCCATATTCCCATCAATTAGCCACATATCTTTGGGGGCAAGCCAAAATTTCTCGACAAAAGTCATGAGATGGCCAAAATCTCTCAAAGATCTTCCTTCTATCATTTTCTCAACCCTGCTACAGGACGATGAAAATTTCGAGATAAGAAGATCCCACAGTCAAAATCAACCAACAACCTTCTTTCCTGAAAAAACATATACCTCCATGACGAGACCATATGAGATTGCCTGAATCAACCCCACAAAGTTCTCTTGTTGAGAAAAACCTTAACCTCAAGCTCATGTGACCGTCAACATAGACAGAGTCATCTCATGGTGACAGGAATCTTGATAGTAGTCGAAGTGTCGTAAACTTAAAACATCTATAGGAATGAGTGAAAGCGAAAAAGAGGTAAAAAACAAGAGTGAGAGATCATGGATATTCTCATGGCTTGATTTGCACTCTTCTTGAAACAAAAACAACTTTGAGAATTATGAAAACAAAGTTTGTGGCAAAGTCACACAAGAAAATGTATTTGTTCAACTCGCGTACACTTACCTTAAACAAGAGCTTCACAATCTAAAAATGAGTTTTCACTTTGTTATTCCAACAAAGTTATTTTCAAACGTTGTTGCATTTATCCCAAGTTGAGGATGATAAAAATCACATTTCGTTCCAGAAGATGGAGAATGAACAACCTATCTTTGGGGGCAAAATGGGGGCAACTTAGAGAAAGTTCAAGGTACTAAGTAGCTAGACTACTCAACTTGTCAACTCCCCCATTTATGAAGAAATTTTGGAGAACTTGTATAACACTCAAGTTCCATGGGACCAGCTGGTCAACTAAACTATTCTCCAAAGACATACTTACAAGAAGAAGCACAATATACTCTATTACCAAGAAATACGCAACCTCATAGAAGGTTGTACTACCCACCTTGGGAATCAAGAAAGAAAAGACAGTGCAATATGATGCATCAGGACTCCCTGTATCTCAGATCGACTCAATCAAAAGTTCAATCCGAAAAAACAATCCTGACAAGACATACCTCAAGATGATAGATCTTCTTAACCAAGCAAAATATCGCTTACATCGCAACAAATACCACCAAGGGCAGGGCCCCTGGTCGAACAGATTATTCCAACTCTAAGCCTAAGAGGTTGGGTTTCCCAGACATCATGCATCAAGGCAAAAAGTAACCAATATCCCTACCTCGGCACCATAGAGGCGGATACTCAAAAGCTCGCGCTATCGAGTTTTGGGTTCAACTAACGATCAAGTCTTCCAAAGACAGTGACAAAATTCCTGGTGAATGATCAATTTAAAGAAACCCAGGACCAACAACAAAAACAATGTATTTTTGCATGACATTCATGACATCATTATTCAACATGATACATCATAGTGTCATTTCTAAAATCATGTGCATGAGTGCATCTCTACTTTAGACATGCATTGAGCATCTCATCAGAACCTCAAAACAGATTTGCTTCAACTTTCAAAGTCTATCGAGATCCCCGAAGATATGGCATCTAATGTCATACTAGAAAACCCCATCCTCGCGTTGGCGAACGCTATACAAAACACGTCCTCGCGTTGGCGAACGCTATACAAAACATGCATCGCGTTGGCGAACGCTATATAAACACGTCCCCGCGTTGGCGAGCGCTACATAAACACGTCCCCGCGTTGGCGAGCGCTATATAAACACGTCCCCGCGTTGGCGAACGCTATACAAAACACGTCCTCGCGTTGGCGAACGCTATACAAAACACGTCATCGCGTTGGCGAACGCTATACAAAACACGTCCTCGCGTTGGCGAACGCTATACAAAACACGTCATCGCGTTGGCGAACGCTATATAAACACGTCCTCGCGTTGGCGAACGCTATAAAAACATGTCCCCGCGTTGGCGAGCGCTATATAAACACGTCCCCGCGTTGGCGAACGCTATACAAAACACGTCCCCGCGTTGGCGAGCGCTATATAAACACATAGACCTATCTTGGCAACTTGTTCCGTCGACTATGACGGACACAAAAATTACATGATAAATTTGTTTCGTCGACTATCACGAACAAATTGGACCCCCTGCTAAACTTGTTCCGTCGACTATCACGGGCAATTTAGAAACTAACTAGTCAATTTGTTTTGTCGTCTATCACAAGCAAATTAGACCCCCTGCTAAACTTGTTCGTCGACTATCACGGACAATGTAGAAAACCTAACCCCGCTCCGCATACCGCGAGGGGGCAACCAAATTCCCGAGTATGCTTACCGCAGCCGAAAAAAAACCCTTCACCCACTCTGCACAGGAGCTGGCGAGCCCCTCTATCAGTCAACAACGCACGGGAGCTGAGGAGCGCCCCAACCAATCAAAACCTCACAGGAGCTGGCGAGCCCCTCTATCAGTCAACAACGCATGGGAGCTGAGGAGCGCCCCAACCAATCAAAACCTCACAGGAGCTGGCGAGCCCCTCTATCAGTCAACAACGCATGGGAGCTGAGGAGCGCCCCAACCAATCAAAACCTCACAGGAGCTGGCGAGCCCCTCTATCAGTCAACAACGCACGGGAGCTGAGGAGCGCCCCAACCAATCAAAACCTCACAGGAGCTGGCGAGCCCCTCTATCAGTCAACAACGCATAGGAGCTGAGGAGCGCCCCAACCATTCAAAACCTCACAGGAGCTGGCGAGCCCCTCTATCAGTCAACAACGCACGGGAGCTGAGGAGCGCCCCAACCAATCAAAACCTCACAAGAGCTGGCGAGCCCTCTATCAGTCAACAACGCACGGGAGCTGAGCAACACCCCTACCATTCAATACCTCATGGGAGCTGAGGACCACCCCTACCAAATCAATACCTCATAGGAGCTGGCGAGCCCCTCTATCATTCAATAACGCATAAGAGATAACGAGCGCCCCTACCAGTAAATACCTAACCGGAGCTGGCAAGCGCTAACGAAATATAGCAGAAGATGATTGACGGGCATCAGAAGAAACCGTCGACGCTGTCGAGCATCAAAGAAATACAATAAAGTGAGTATTAGAAAATTACTCGCGTTGGCGAACGCTATATAAAAACGTAAATTTTCCATCAGTAGCAAAGATGATCAAAGAAACAGAAGTTCTCGCTATCGGAAATCTTATACAAACGCACTAAATCATTCGCTATCCTAACATCATCCTCAAAGCATATCCTATTTCAAGGACCCTAACACAACCATCATGATACTTTTAGAAAATGTGGTGTCTTTTATAGAAACTTTGTATAACTCTTTATACAAAGAGATATACAAAGGGGGGCAACTGTAGACACCACATTTTGTCCGGGATAATTGATTTATTGAAAATAATTATTCTAACATCGTACTACGATTATATTTAAAAGGGAAGTTGAAGATAGTTTGGTTGAGACTAGCAGTTGCAAGTCAATATGAACCAACAATTATCAAATTTGCTCCTAGTCGATTCTAGGGCATAGTTAGTTAAGATGGGATCAGTTTAAGTTAAGATTAGCAGTGACGAATCTTAAATATAAATTCTCATTTAGAAGAGAGAAATGACTATAGTGCAAATTTGGTTGCTCGAGTTGGATTTGGATCTGGTATTGGTAATGGGACAAATTGAATAGTGGAATGAGCTTTATTATCAAAGATTGTACAACTTGGATAATGACCTCTAAATGAAGCAAGAATTATAATTAACTACAATGACTAATGCTAACTCTACAAAATTTGGGGCACCAATCAGATTAAGACTAGGCCTTTTTGCTATTTCTTTTGGGCCCAAAGCAAACCCAACCTGCAGAAAAAAAGAAGACCAGTCAGTTCTCAAGTGAGAGTCCAAGTCCATAGATTAAGCCCAAATCAAAGTAATTCGAGACTAGACAGAGCAAGTATCGGCCCAGAAAAATTTATGACAGGCCCAGCCCAGACAAACGTCCAACAAACAGGCCCAGCTCGGCCCAACGAAATTAGACCATAACCCAACCGGCCTGGTTCGGCCTGACCACATCCTATCCACAGCCGACCTCAACAGGGGCACACCTTTCAAAGTCGCAATAAAGAAATGGACGAATCATATAGTGACACGTGGTGGTTTGGTTTGGTATAAGTGAGCTCTTCAGGCTCTTTGTTTTGGGGGGACGATTTTGGAGGAGGCAGCAAAAAAAAAAAACACTCTAGAGAAATAAAATTTGACATCAAAACTCTCTTCTGCAACTCTTGCTCATAGGCAAAAATTCGGGGAAGGATTGCGAGATCGAGGAGCGAATTTGCAAGTTTTGAAGAAGAAGACGCCATAGAAACTCCAACCAGGTTGGTATTAGTACTCTAGTTTCATCTTCTTAATCTGATCCTGTCATTTCGTCTAGTTTACAATACCAATGACGTTATAATCATCAATCTACTTGCCCATTTATATGCAAGAGTTTTATTTTACAAGCTCCACTCTATTTACCAAAGATCAACTCATATCAGCTTCTTCAAGCTCCTTCATCCAAGTTGTTTTTTTTTTCAATCGTATTATTAGCTTTGTCTATGCTATAACTACTATGCCAATTAACTTAATCATGAATGAAATCAGATGCTTCACTTTAACTTTCCGGCATGTTGATTTCCCACACCCGTAGGCGGTAGCCATATGTATGCGAATTAAAGTACAACTAAATAATACATTTTTTTTACAATAAAAAAACTGCTTTTTAGGAGTCCATGATCAACCTAGATCTTGAACTAACGAAAACACTATAAACGCAATAAAATTTCAGATTCACCAATTCTAACCAGTTTTTAAATCAACCAAAATAATAATCCAATCAAAATCACGAGCAGTGATTTAGTCCAAATCTCTAGAAAAACCATACGGAAAAGTGATCTATTTTTAGTCAAAATTAGCATTTCTAGTTCATGTCAATTAGTTTTCTATCAAAGGAAATTATTTTCTTTTCACAAACTCTTAAGCCTATCAATAGCCGTATCTAAAGACATCGACCAAACCACGAAGCATAAAATTTCGAGACCATCAAACCCACACACATAATGTTTCCAAACCACAGATCTGTAAATAATAGTCAGTTTATTTAGTCTAATTTTCCCTAATTATACCAAAACCGAGGTTAGAAGAGTCTCACCCAGATCTGGCCTCTCTTCCAAACCTGCAAAAGATCGAAGAATAAAGTCTGAATTAGATTAAGCTTTTGTTAAAAAAAAAAAACAAATAAAATAACAAATTTAGAAACCAAAAGTCTCACCTTTCCCTTCGTTCCCTTCTCCTACTCGTCCGAATCCAAATCCGAAACCAAAAAGAAACAACCACATAATCAGAATTCGTTTTTTTAAATAAGATAAAAAATCAAAAGAAAATCGACAGGCAATAAAAAGAGAATGAACCTTTGAATTCTCTCTCAGTCGCCGTCGTCTGTCACTGGGTCTGGCCGTCACCGGCGGTCCGCTCCCTTGTCCTCCCGTTAAAACCCAAAACCCGAAAGAAGAAGATCAGAATTCTTATAAAAAAAAACAAAAATAAAAAATAAAAGCAGAAAACCTAAGATCGTACAACATGCAAATCAAAACCTCACCCAGATCTACTCGTCATTGACGAAATCGCTCCGCCACCGACGACTCCTGTCCCCTATCATCTTTCCTCGACAGAACAAAAACCCAGAAGCCCAAAAATTAGAAGAGTCCGAAATAAAAATAAAAAAATAGAAAACAAAACCATGCATGTAACGATCTTACCTAGATCGAAGGTCTCCCGCTCGATTTTTGGCGACTCACGCCATATCGAGGAGACAAAGAGCGGCGGCTAGAGGAGAAACTCCGAGGAGTTTCCTCACCCGGGTCGTTTTGCCGGCGGCGGTTTCGATTGGGGCTAGGGTTAGGTTCTCTAGACGAGAGAGAGACGAGGGATGAGAGGAGAGGGAGGCGGCGATTTTGGATCAGGGCTAGGGTTTGGGTTTTCTGGACGCGGGAGAAGAAAGGAAGGAGAGGGCGGCGGTTTTTGTTCGGCTAGGGTTTGGTTTTTTCTGGAAGAGGAAGAGAGAAGTGGAAGGATCGAGAGGAAGAGAGAGAGGCAAGAATGAGATGGACGTGAGAGAGAGAGGGCGGCCGCCTCTCTTTAGATTGATTAGGGTTTCTTTAGAGAGTATATATAACCCATCGATTACAATGACCAAAATACCCCTAGGGTTTATCGTTAATTACGCGGCCGTGCCACCGTGTTTTCGAGCAATTACTAGAATGCCCTTCCCCCATCCCCACACTAAAACGAAAAAAATCAAAAAATTGCACTCAGTTCGTTTCGAACCCGCGATCTCTGGGTCAGAGGAGGCTAGCGGTTTGACCAGTTGGGCTGCCGACAATCATATGTTAAATTAACCATCCCGCTTAAGTTTATTTGTTTATAGTTCTTAATACGAAATGGTAAATGCGGATTAAGTTTATCTCGTTTCTTTTCCAATACGAGTCAAGCCTCTTCCTAATAACTTAAATTATTAAATTCTCTTTTCATAATTTCATAATAATCAAATTAAATTTTATTAACATAAATTATAATACGAAAATCACGATCAGTGGAACGTGATGAAAATGTCACAATTAAACTATCAAAGTTCAAACGAACTACGTGGACTTTGATCCCGTCTAACGGGTACGTAGGCAACCGATAAGGTTCGAGTCCAACTAACCAATTAACTTTATCGTATACGTCAGTGGACGTATAATTAAATTACAATTAATACGATTCAATATTTTTTTTAATGGTCCAGTGGGACCCTAAGATTACAAAATTATTACTAAAATACACCCAACTCGCATAAAAACTTATCGACTTAAGTAGTACCGATTTAGGGCGTTGTGGGGGTGTTGCTTAACTTCCCCACACGTAACCGTACTCCCGAACCCAGAACTTTATTTTCGCAGACCATGCCTCGGTTCTGACATTAAGGTTAGAGCCGACCGAAGAGTGTTCGATCCACTCCAAGTAAGATCGATGGCGACTCCCAAAAATGCCGACGCGACGACAAACGGACCCCCCGGACGGGACGGTTGCGACAGCCACTGATGCCTTTTTAAGCAGATTTTCAGCCAAAGAGAAGGGGGATTCGAGTTTTAGAGAGAGAGATCAGTTCCTAGAGAGAGAAAGTGACGAACAAGAGTCTCCAAGTGCCCTAGATTGATCTTCAACACCATTGGAGGCTAGCTTGAGCTTGGAGAAGTGCCGATCAACGTCCAGGAGCAGGAAACCATCCTTCACAGTATGAATTCCGCGTCTGATTCTGCTTTTGCTTTCTTCTCCATGGAGTAGTTCTTCCATTCATCTGGGTATGGAGAACCCTAGATTTGTATGTGAGGTTTGATTGTATGAACCTAAGTAATGATTCCATGATTGATTATATTCGATTGAGGTTTTAATGATTGAATGACTTGAATCCTGATCAAATTCCTGTTGTTTCTGCTTTAACCTGGAATGAGAATATCTGACTAGGTTAATAGAGTATCCTTGATTGAAGGTAGGGAGTTGGTGACTTTAGTCGAGGAGCCAACTCACTATTCTGTACCGGATTTACTCCGGTAGTGGAGGTTTTGTTTGTTAAGGCCTCAATCTGTTTACTCCGTGGAGGTTAGTCGGCCGCTAGAGACTCAGATTGAGAGGGTCTGAAGACCTTTAGTCGAGACTTCAGGCTGTTTAAGAACCTTCCGCAGTATAACTATCATAGAAACTGAACTTGGTAATTACAATCCGGCTTAACTGCAGTCTAGGGGGAACCATATCCGGGTGACCTCTTTAACCTGAATACAACAGTTTACTTGCTTTGTTTGTTTGGTAGTTTAGACTTGCATTCCAGTTTCATTGCTAGATAACAAGAACTCACTGAGTAGTCATCAGATCTAGGACCCGGGTTGACATATAAACCTAGCCCGCTATACTACGCTTTAGGAAGTAATTTCACTTGGCCAATTCCTGGAGTGACAGTAGAGTCGAGTCAAGTTTTTGGCGCCGTTGCCGGGGACGGCTAGGTTGGTGAAGAAAAGTTATTTCTGTTAATTTAGCTTTTCTTTTTGCTTTGTTTGCTTTGTCCCACTTGTGCCTTCACGGGTTTGTTGCTTGAGTGTGTGCAGGTAGTGCATGACCCGTAGCCAGTCAAGAGGTTTACTGCCGTTGAATCCAGAGATTGAACGCACCTGTCGCCAACTCAGGAGACAACATCGAGCTAGACTGGCTAGGGAAGAGCGCATAGACGGCCACGTGAGCAGTGATTCTGAGGAGGAGTACGAGATGGAAGAGTACAATCAACACCAGGGGAATCCTCAGCAGGCTCCCCCGGTGAATCAGGTCCTGGGGAACAACCCCATACCCCAGGATCATGGAGTTCGTCATCCACCGCAGCCGGGTCCCACATTGGAGTACTACTACACTCCGTGGATTGCTGACATCCGCCCGGTCATCCTCTACCCGCCTATTCCAGGGAACAACTTCGAGATCAAGCCATGCTGGATTCAGCTCATCACATCTTCTATCCAGTTTCATGGCTTGAAGGATGAGGAGGCCAGGGTGCATCTTTCCCGTTTTCTGCAGCTAACGAACGGGTTCAAGCTGAATGGTGTCCCGGATGATGCAATCCGCCTTCATCTCTTCCCCCATTCTCTGGCGGGGAATGCTAAGAGGTGGTTGGAGACCCAGCCCCCATTGTCCATCACGTCTTGGGACGATCTGGCGGACAAGTTCGTGCACAGGTACTATCCGGCATCGAAGACCACAGAGATTCAGCGGGAGATCACTCACTTCCGCCAAGAGCCAGATGAGTCACTTCGTGATGCTTGGGAGCGGTACATGGGATACTTCTGGCAGTGTCCCCATCATGGCTTCAGTGATGCATTCACAGTGGGGAACTTCTACAGCGCTCTCTCCCCAGATAGCCAGAGGGTGATTGAGTCTTTATGCCCAGGAGGGGATGTTCTCACCAAGACTCCACCCGAGCTAAACCAGATGAACAGTACCTTGGCTGCCAGAAATCATTCCTGGGGGCAGAGCAGCAGAGGCAGACATTCTAGGGACCGTGGTGTGCACGCCATGGAGTCCAGATCCGGACTCGAGCAGCAGGTAGCTGAGCTAGTGCAGACATTGAAGCAGCCCAACAGTCTTATTCCGGGCAGAGGTATGGCCACACCTCCAGTTGCTCAATGTCAGTGGTGTGAGAGCTCCAAT